ATCGATTATTTTAATAATCGATTAGTTGTCGATTAATCGATTAATCGTAGCAGCCCTACATTGAACTCCTTCAGCTGTATTCTCATCACACCATGTAGAGGTGTATCATTTTTATCATGAACTTTCAAACATTTGTGTTTCTGAACTGTTTGAATCCCACAAACGGCTTGAACTTAAAATGTACAAAGTAGAGATCGACCGGTAGTTTTTGCTGATATTAGTGTTGTTTTTTTTTTCTTGAATCAGCGGACAAGTGCATGCGTTCGGAGATCCATTATGGCGTTCAGCAGCCATACCTTGAGATCACATGACTGCATGCATTGCTGCTCCCTCCCTGGCAGAGAGCAGTTCATAATGTTGTAAGACTGAGTGCCAACAACAACAACAAGTTTTCAACGTTTAATGTACTTTTAATTAGGGTTGGGCATCGTTTGAATTTGAACGATTCCGGTTCCTCGTTTGGATTCCACGGTTCCCAATGATTCCCAATTTCGATTCTTTTTAGAGGCAGGATCAAAACGTTTACATGGTTTAATGAGGTACCAAGAGTTTTTTCTAGACAAATAGTTATGAATTTATTTTCCACACAGGGRTACTCTGCAAAATTTGTCCATCTAACCAAATCATACACTGATATCCAGCCAAAGAGTATTTTTCATCTTGTTTTGAGAYGATATACTGAGCAAGAGCAGAATGTGTTTGATTATTAATCGTTAGCCTGTAAATGTTTTCCTTATTTTTAGTTTTGCCTAGCGCAACTGTCTTATTGCACTGGCAGATTATTTCACTTAATTTGACAATTTGAGTCTGAACATCAACTCCAATTAGTGTTGGGCGGCTCACCTGGGTTTTTTTCCTTTGTTGCTGTTGGGCGGCTTCTTCTTCCAGTTGGAAGACTGGGTACTGAAACTAGGTATCGAAATTTAAAAGTACGAACGATTGAGGGAGAATTGAAACATTAGTCCTGGTTCCAATCGATACTCGAGACTCGATGCCCAACTCTATTTTTAATCATCTAATTTAGCTGCATCCAGGGTTCAACAAATCCTATTGCCCGACTGCCCAGGGCAGGTAAAACCCATTGTCGGGCAGGTGGGTGTGTCCCGATGTCTGCCCGACCGGGCAGGTAAACAATTTCTGTAGTTTCTTATAGGGCCATTTATTTGAAATATTCTGAAAATAAATGAAGAAATATGGTGTTTTAAAACAC